CTCCTGGTTATCTCCTCCCCTCCCCACTCAGAACGGCCCTCAACAGCCTCCCCAGGGATGCCAAGGGGGTGGAGGAGAGGCCAGCCTCGGTGCTGAGCTCACTCAGCTATCGAAAACGGCTGACCCTGAAGGACTCCATCGGGGGTACGGGGGACGAGGACTCACTCTTCACCACCCTGAGTGAGCGCGCCACCTCTCCGGAGAGGCCCCCCCGCAAAGCCCGCCAGGGTCCCAGGGAAGAGCCGGGCCAGGGCCGGAGGTCCAAGGAGCCTGATGAATGTGGCTCCATCTTTTCAGAGGTTGGAAGCCGTGCAGGCCGGGGGCTGGAAAAGCGGTGGGGTTCAGATTTTGACCGGGCCTCCACGGTCTCTGCGCCCGTCAGCCGGGCCTCCTCGGCCACACGGCGTGGCTCTGGGGAGGATGGGGCCCGTTCCGCCCTGAGCTTCTCGCTGTCAGGCTCACCCAGCTCCCGTCGCAGCACCTCCCGGCTTGAAGGCCTGGCCAGGACTCTCAGCCCATCCTGGAGCCGAGCCTCAGGCCTGGGCCGGGAGAGCCCCGACTCCCGAATGTCCCTGGGCCGGAGCTGCCTGGATGAGTGGGATGATGGAGCCAGTGTGGCCCTGAGCGAGGCACACTCAGAGTTCAGCCATCCATCGCTGGCCCGAAGTCTGTCCGTGCCACCCCAGCCACGGGGCTTGGCCTCAGCCACTGATGAGCCGCTCAGTTCTAGCGTCCGTCCTGTCAGCCGTCGCTCCTACCTGGACCCAGACCTGGAGGCTGCCATCAATGAGGTCTTGAGCTACAAACCTGTCCCATTCCAGAGAAGCAGCCTAGAGCCTGACTCTGAGGAGGACGATCGCAAGAGTATCCAAAGTGCCCGAAGCGCCCGACTGGGTTCCCCAGAACGTGGCACCAGCATCCGCCGCTCTGCCTCAGCTGCTGATGTCTCTAGGACACGCAGTGGACACAAGAGCCGGAGCAAGCACAGGAGGAGAAGGAGCAGCTCCAGCTCCAGCTCCAGCTCTGAAGGCTCCTCAGAGCACAAGCGGAGGAGTAAGGGGCGCTCTCGGAAGAACAAGAAGAAGTCCAAATCGAGAAGAAAGAGAACCGAGACAGAGTCTGATTCCTCCTCATCCTCATCCAGTGGCTCAACTGTCTCAGGTCACAGTGGGTCAAGCGTGAAGAAGGGTCCTGCCACAGAAAGTGAGGAGGCTGGGCAGACGCTCCGGCAGTCGAGGAAGGAGGAGAAGAAGCGCAAGAAAGAGGTGGACAGTCTGATGATGCGGTACCTGTACCGACCTGAGAGCGACTAGTGTAGTAGGTGGCATCTGGTGTGGAGTGCAGCATGGTGTGTCCTACTCAGCACAAACTAACTTGCTCCCTTCCCTACCTGCCACCAGCTCAGGTCCTATCTGCATTCCTCTTGGGCTGGCCTGGCCTTGGAGAACCCTGTGGCTACCTCAGAGAGCAGGGACCAGCTAAACCGGTTAGTCACTCCAAACCTTGAGCCAGTCTCTCAACTCACTGGTGATGTGGATTATATCTCCTACATACCAAGTCCTTACCCTGGGCCAGGGACTGCGCCATGCTTTATTCTTTTTTTTTTTTTTTTTTAGTTGTAGATGGATTTTATTTATTTATTTTTGTGTGGTGCTAAGGGTCAAACCCAGTGCCTTGAACATGCTAGGCAAACACTCTACTACTGGGCTACAACCACAGCCTCCCATGCTTTATTCTTGATCCTCATGATAACCTCATGACAAAGATGTGAAAAGCCCTGTTTCAGAGAAGAGAAAGCTGAGGCTCAGAGAAGTTAAGTCCCTTACCAAGGTCACACAGGTGGAAACTGATATTGTCAGGAGCTGAATGGCATGTGTTTAACTCCAACACTCTTGCCCTTAACTACTTCTCCATTCAGTTCAGTGCAGAGCACGTGGGCAACATGTGAATGCCAGACAGCACCTGTTTGAGAGCTATTGTTCATGTCCCCATAAGGCTGGGCTCAGAAAAGGGCCCTCCCTAACTGATACCCTGGCTGTGGGTTGGTGCATCAGTGGCCACTAACTCTTGCGTGGCCTTTTGGTCTACTCTCCCCCCACTCCCAGAACTACCTTCCTCCCTGGCATGAATCTCAAGTCTGGGAGGACAAGGGTCAGAGGGCTGCAGCCCACACTGCACCACACCCTACAGCAGACCCAGGAGATGCCCGATGCCCTCCTCAACCCTCCCACCTGCAGGCAGCCCACACATGGGCGTCACCTCTGTTCTGCTCATCTTGTAAAGTTCTAATGAATAGAAATTAGCAGCTGTTGAGTGACAGCCCCCTCCTGGTTCTCCTGCCTCCCCTACCTCCCCCAGCTCTTCTCCCTGTGGGGAGGGAGATCTAGCAGTTAGGCCCATTATGCCCACACCCCCACTATGGAAGAGAGGCAGAGCCTGACTCACTGGGATCCCATTGTTGCCAGTTACCCTGGTGGGCGGTGACATTTTAGATCATCCTGGTTATATGAAGCTGTTTTTGACATGGAACTCTCCCAGGGTAAGCTTACTGCTTCCCAGGAGGTATAACCCCAAAGTGTACCCCCCTGAGGCTCAGGAAGTTGTTCCCCAGATGCATGAACTAACACACACCTGTTGCATGCTTGTACTGTGAAGCAGCTGGGCAAATACTGACTTTAGCTTAGTTATACCAAAGGGGTTCAATGGAAGGTCCCTTTAAGGAATGGAACAAATGGAAGTGCAAGTTACCTTAGGCAATGGAATGGAATTGGGGGAGTGGATGGTGTGATGGAACTTGAACCCAGATCAGGCTCATGGCCAATTCATTCCTTGGGCATGAGCTGCTCTGAAACCCTTGGGCTCAGCTCTGCTCTGTCACTTTCCCCATGTGGCAGATGGTTGCAGGGTGCTTTGTAAAGCATCTCAATTGCATTAGGGTCTCCTTGTCAGCTCCATTGTGGGAAAAAACAGGAGTCAAAATATTTGGCCTACTATTTCAGCCTTCCCCTTAGCAGCCCTGCTAAGTGCCCCAAACCCCCATGACAGGAAGTCAGTGGGTAGATGGAGGAGGAAGTCTAGAAAGCATAGAAGGCCAGGCCCTTCTGTGTATTGCACCCGTTCCCAGAGGGAGACACAGGCCATCTCACCAACTGGTGGGCAACTAGCATATTTCAGACCCTAGTGCCCTCAGCCCACCGTCACCCTTGACCTGAAAATCGTTAAGAACAAAGACACAGAAAGCTGCTTTCCTCCTCCACCCATCAGCTCAGTTCCTCTTGTCCAGCTAGAAGCCGGAATAGTCCTAAAACTCTCTCCCCAGGCTCTGAGGAGGATTGCATTCACTATTGGTAGAGTGGCCCCCAGCCAGAACCTAGCCAACCAGCACAGAGCTGGAGAGAAAAAGCAGCAGAGGGAGGATCTCCCTGGCACCCAGCATTAAGTGGCTTTGGGGTGAATACTCTGCCAGGGGTGAGGGTGGGAGTGGGACAGGACAGAGACAGAGCCAAAGCCAAAGCTTAGCTTCCCATCTGGTGATGAGGAACGAGAATTCGGAACACGGATTCAGCATCCATAGCAAAGTCAAGGGGAGGGGAGCTGCCACCCTGGGCTCTCCCAGCGGGAATTAGCTTATGTACCAAATTGTTTGTGACATTGCTGAGCAGGAGACACTGGCTTGTGGAGAGGAAAGCTTTTTAAACAATTTGGTTAAAATGTTCCAATTGCCAGCCGTGACTCTTGCCCTGGGGAGGAAGGGAGCTGCCTGCTGTTGGCCCGTTGATGGCTGTGGCCGTATAAGCTACTAAGGAGACTGGCTAAAGAGAACCCAAGGAAGAACCAAACAGAGATCTAGTGCATCATCCACAGCCCAGGCAAGAGAGAGACGTGGGATTTACCACCTCTCCAGCTGCTACCGCCTCTGCCTATCACCTCTACAGAACAGCGTAGAAACCTGGCTGTCATTTACCCAGGTGTCTGAATGTGGGAGTGGTGAGGGAATGACGAGGAGCACAGGGCTGCGATTGATTCAGAGGGCTGGGCTCTCCAGCAATGCCTCATTTGCATCTGGATCCCAGCCCTGGCATCTACCTCACCCCCTCTGCCCACAGAATAACTCCACTGTCTTTCCTCAAAGCCAGGCCTTCCTTTTCCTAACAGCAGATCTTTAGCACTGGGTGCCCAGAAATTCTGTATAAAAAATGAAAACAAAACCCGGCTCCTGATAATGTAGAATTCAAACAACCCCAAAGCTAAAATAATCCCCACCCCCGTTTTTTTTTTTCCTGTGTTGTACAGCCATCATTGAGTTGCACAATTTTGTCCTAGAGTCACCTCAGAGTCCTTTAGTACCTCTGCTCCATCAAAATAAGACTCATTTATGTTCAATGTAGTTTGTACTAAGTGTGTTTTGTGCTATTCTGATTCCTTTAAGAATGTTAATTCATTCATGAGAACTAGAATAACTATTAGCCAGACTGCCCCACTCCTGAGCCATTTTGCATAATTGAACATATATTCTCTCAGGCTCTTCGGGGAGGGGAAGAGAGCGAGATACATGTCTTTTACACCCCTTGGACACTCACCCAGGCCAGAAGGAGAATGCAGGTTTGATCTTGTTTTCTTCTCAGGTATCTAATCTAGCGGCAGAGTGGAGTTTTTTCAAAGCTTTGAAGTTCAGGTTCAGGTTTACATCCTGACTGTGTGACCTTGGGCAGGATGCTTCATCTCTTTGAACCAGCTTCTCCATACCAACCTAGAGTTGCTGTGCAGAAAAAGACAGCATATCCAGGGGGCCTAGGCCTGTGTCTCATACAGAAGAAGATCCAGTGATGGAATTCTTTCTTCTGGATCTCTCACTGACACCTTGGGGGAAGCTAACCAAGTGACTTTTTCTCACAGAAACTTGTTTCCTCCGATAGAACTTTCAAAGGACCAGTAAATCAAGGGCCTTCCTCAGATTCTTAAATCAGAATTGCAGGCAATTGAGATCATGGAATTCCTGTTTGCCCAAGTAGACTACATCTAGGATCTGTAGGCAGATCTGTGGGCCTCTGTCACTTGGAGCAGTGGGCAGGGCAGCGGTTCTAAGGACCCAGCCGAGAGCAGGGACCCAGTAGGAGTGGTGTCACACTGGGCTATATTTTCTAAAATGGTGTTGAAATTACAGTGCACTTTAATAGTCAGGAGGGAAAGGTAGCTCCTGGGCCTTGGGAAATAAAAAAGAAGGTGAATGGAACTGGGTAGAACATGATATCATCTTTCCTTGTGAGAGGTCATGATCCTGCTTCATCCAGTGGATAATGCTTCTTCATATCTTCAGAGAGATAGCTGGAGGCTTCCAGAGCCAGGGACCTGATGAAGACTCAATGGGATTATGAGATTTTTCCATTGAGCCACCCTGAAACAAAGGTCTTGGCAGCCCGATTCCTGAGGCTTCATTCCTTATTGTTAACAGAGGATGCCATGATCAACAGTAGAAGTTCCCACAGGCCTTAGGAAACCCTGATTAGGAGAAGAAATTCAGATCTGGGAATATTCGGTGGGGAATGCTCCTCTTTCTTAGAAGCCATCTTTTTTAGAATAACTTGCTTAAGAGAGCCCCTATCTTAGCCAGGCTGTAAGTATCCAGTCTCCATCACTGTGGCTCATGGATGGCCTGCATCAGAATCTTCTGGGGAATAAGCTGAAGATGGGAACCCCTCGGTTCCACCGAAGAGCTATCAAGTCAAAAATTTTAAGAGGAAGGACCCGGGACTCTGTAGGCGATTCTTACACCCACTCACGTCCTAGACCTCTGCTCTCCAGTACCTGTGTCCTATGGGTTTTTAAAGCTCTCAGAGTCGAACTGGTGTGCTCCTTTCTCTAACTATATTGAATGTCTTCTAGGTGAGCCAAGAAGTCTTTACCTAGCAACGTCTGGTGTTTGGAGTGCTCTAACAGGGATTTGGTACTCCTGGGTAGAAGTGTCCTTTGTCCTTGACCTTGTCCTTACTCCTCTCTCCCTGCAGCCCCACCAGCCACTGGAAGCCCCTTCCCCCTGACCGATCCGATGATGAGCACGACCCTGTGGACGGCACCTCCAGACCCCGATACTCCCACAACTATCTGAGTGACAGCGATACAGAGGCAAAGCTGACGGAGACCAATGCTTAGCCCAGGGGAGTGGCTCTCAGCCCTCACACCCCACAGCCTCTGCCTGCCTGGGCATCTCTCCCAGGAACCAGTGGGGCACTGGTCCCCCCCCGCTGACTGCTGATCTGCATGGGAAACACCCTGACCTTCCGCTATCAGGGGGACTTTCCAGGCTGTGGGTGTCTGACATCCCCACGTGGAAGAGGTGGGAGAAAGAGGAGTTTCTGAAAAGAGAACTTTTTGCTCCTCCCTGCCTCAAAGATGCCACACTCTTGGCTTCTACCAGGGCCACCATGGTCAGTGGCAGGTGGCCTGGCACTGCATGGAGCCAGCAAATTGACCTCCATCTCAGCCCCCTGCTCAGGGATGATGGACAGATTGCCTACTGGGCCACCCAAGGTTGCTGGGTCCATGGGGAGGAGTCGGGGAGGGAACAGCAATTCCTTCCCGCTGGTTTGGGACGAGGGCTTTCTCTTCTCAGTGCCTGCTGTCTTTTTACTTCTTAATTTAAATATCCAACTTCTCCATCACAGCCACATCCCTGAGAGTGGGAGCTGGCTGCAGTGGCAGCTGGGGCCCCCAGGAACAACTTGGAAATATCTTCATCTCCACTTTTCTGGGTGCAGTCCTTTCTCTGTGCAGCCAGGGAGACTGGTGAGCAGAGCTGGGGCCAGGTTCTTAAGAGTCAGTGTGGGGAGGGGCTGCCAGGTGCTTCTGGTTGGGCTGAGCAAGCCTCCACAGACGGGTACATAAATGCCATCGAATTTCCAGCCCTCACCCACCCTCTCCGTCTCATCAGTGCGTTAAGTGCAATGACCTATTTAATAGTAAACCCATTCCACCTGCACCAGCTTGGGGACTTGTCCAAGCACTGCCTCCCTCTACTTTATACCAGTTCCCTGGGTCATAAGCTCAACTTGAGAAGAAAGGCCTGGGGTTGAGGGCTTGTGGTCAGAACCACTGAAGATGGGAGTGTCCGTTGATACTAGTGTGTGTCAGACACAAGTCCTCACCCAGTGTCCTGAGCTGGTATCATCTCCCTGCCCCCACACACTTATCCCAGACCTGGAAACAAGCGGTCCCAGCCCCCTCCAAAAGTTATCCCCTCAACTCCACCAGACTTGGGGGCCAAGGGCAGTGCCTGGAGCCGCTCCCATCTGCTGTCCCCCTTCTTTCCTGCAATTGGTTTGTACTCACTGGGCTGTGCTCTCCCCGTTTACCTGATGTATGGAAATAAAGCCCTTTTCCTCCTGGCTATGCCAGTTTTCCTGCCTCTTCCTTCAGGCCCAGGGAAAGTCCCTTGTGATCACAGGGTTGAAGGCAGAAGCAGGACTATTGGGGACACCAGAGAGTCACCTTGTTCTCGCCTTCTCCCATGTCAAACTGTGCCACCCAAAGAACCCTGGCAGGTCATCTGGGGCAGGCAGGATGAGGAAATTAGGAGATTAGTCGAGGATGACACAACTCCAACTTTTGCACCGAGGGCCTGTGGATTGTAATTCAGGTTGGCAGAGTTGTCCAAGCCTCCTCTCCCCTGGCCTCCATGAGGAAATATTATCGTCCATTTGATTGTTAAATCTCACCAGCTGCAGGGGTTTTATCTTCTCTTACCTTTTTTCTTTTTTTTTTTAATTCAAGCCCTTTTTAAAAGTTTGTTCTAATTAGTTACACGTGACAACAGAAAGCATTTCAACACACTGTTTGCAAATGGAGCACAACTTTTCATTTCTCTGGTTGTACAGGACACAGTCACACCATTCGTGCAATCATACATGTACATAGGGTAATAATGTCCATCTCATTCCACCATCTTTCCCACCCCCGTACCTCCTCCCCTCCCCTTACTCCTCTCTGCCCAATCCAAAGTGCCTCCATTCTTCCCTTGCCCCTCCCCCATTATGGATCAGTATCCACTTATCAGGGAAATGAAGCCCTTCTTAAAGCTTAAGTTAAGCCATTCCAAAGGTGACTTTTTGATCAGAACTCTGGCCTTCAACCTCCCTTGGCCACAAAGGCGACTTGAATAGGCTGCAAGTGCTGTTTCTTCCCTGCCCACATGCCCTAGTTCATGCCTTGTCCTCAGACTGACAGCTAAGAGACCCCTCATGCACATAGGGAAGAAACAATACCCACTTGTTCCTCTTCTAACTTCTGTAATGTGGCCAGTTATAATCACTGCAGGAAATCAAGTACTTTGTCAGGGAGACGGGGAGGGTATCGGCCCTCATGCTGAGGCTCCAATGATGTCAATCACCCAGAAAGTCAAAAAAGGGAAAGAGGAAGAAAATTCAGAAAATGAGCAGGAGAGGAGTATGAAATGGATCCATTTTGAACAATGGAGACTTTCCCCTCTGCTGCCCCACAATAGAGAGGAGAAAATAGTAAAAACAAAGTTGTGTTTTTTTTCCCTTTTACTGCTGGTTCATGTTCAGTTCTGTCATTCACATCTTCTACTCCTTCTGTAAAATAGGTGCATTTTATGTTTCTCCCAGGAGATAATATGAGCAACTCCCTACCACCTGCCCAAAAATTCTCCAACACCAACTCCAGTTTTTGGTTCACTGGAAAGTCCAACATCCACCTCCATTGCCTGGTTTGGAGTAAAGGACTTTGCTAAAGTTAGAAAACTTGAATTACTCATTTATTTATTTGCTCACAAGTTGAGAAATATTTCATAACTTCCTACTGTGCTCTAGGCATAGCCCTAGATGCTCAGAATGGATCAAGTCCCTCCCTTTTAGTGGAGGAGACAGAAACACAAAATATACACTACACTTGCTAGTATGTGCAAGTCTTGGGTGGGCAAAGGCTTGCACAAGGAAGACCAATGTGGAATAGACTATAATATAAGTTCAAATAGATTGCTTTGGGCATGTTATGGACAGAGATATTCTCTTTGGGAAAGGGGGACGGGAAAGGATTCTAAAAGGAGCTGTTATTTTGGTCTGGGACTTGAAGACAGGATAATACTTCCACATGTGGATAATGCTGGGACAGGCCATCTTGGGATGAAAGGGGATTTAAGACAAAAATTTTTGTTTGGTTGTAGATGGACAGAATGCCTTTATTTTATTTTATTTTTATGTGGTCCTGAGAATTGAACCCAATGCCTCACGCATGCTAGGCAAGCACTCTGCTGCTGAGCTATAGCCCCAGCCCTGGAAGAAAGAGGATTCTATTGCAAAGGTCTTGAGTTTGAGAAATATAGGCGGTGGTAGAGCATGCTGCAGGCTATCACCTCATATGACCAACCCTTCTCAAAGCTGCAGTAAAGCTCCTTGGCCAGGGTGCTAGCCTTTAGGCTGGGAAGAAAACAATTCCCTTGGCATCAGCAACTCCCCAGAGGAGTCCTGGGACCTACAGGGCTACTGAAGCCCATCTTCATTTGGGGTGCAACTTGAGAGCTCTATTAAATTCCTGCCCTCACCTGTACAGTCACGGTAGCTGTGGTCCCTAAGATGTGTGTGATCCCTGTGAAACAAAGCAAATCTTTCCCTGCTCCAGGCTCAAAGCCGCCCTACTAGATCCTTCTTTCTAATTGCAGACCCTCAGGATTACTCTCACTCCTAAATAGGAGGCAAGGATGGGAACCAAAGCCCTGTAGGACTCCCCATAGTGTCTAGAGAATACAGGAGCAGGCAGTGACCCCAAAATTGCCTCCTTTTGTCCTTGCATCCCCTTGGCAGATTATCCCAGTTGTCCTTCCCCCATCCCCCTCCCCTGTGCCTGGTGGCACAGACACTTAGCGATTTGCTCCTTAATTGTCCCCCAGCTAGGCTGCGCAGATGCCGCTCTTTAATCTCTCCTGATAAATGAATCGCGCCGCTCCTTTAATCATATGTTCATATCCAAGCCAATTTGAATCAATTTGGCAGGGAGCGTGTTGCAAGAGATGCCATGACTGCTGTTTCTCCCCCAGGGCTCTGGAGCCAGAATGACTGCTGTCCGCACCCTCAGTAAAGAGCCCAGGAGACCTGTCCGGAGGAGAGATCTCCCACCTGAAAGGTGGAGACTTTTTAAAGTCATTTCATTCATTCCTGCTCTAAAAGCAGGCTCTGGGGACTAGAAGATGGATTCCCAAAGGCCTCAAAAGTGGAAGGGAGGGGGATGAGTCCACAGCCTTCCTTGGTCACTGAATAAGGGGTCCCATTATCGTCCCTGGGAGAAACTGCTGCCTTAAATCTAATGTTAATCCTTTCTGTTCCCCTTTCATTTCCTCTAAGCTGGTTCTCAGGGAAGATGGAGCAGTTCATCACAGCAACACATTCCAGACCACTCTAGGATAATGTGTTCTTGCCTACAACTGGTGGCCAACCCAACTCCTTTTATCTTCCCCTAGGACATGTTCTTTCCTGACACTTCCAGGCAGATGGGCAGTTGGGGACATGCTTGGAGTGTACCAAATGCTACTAGGTTTGGGACTGCTGCTTTTGCATGTCTCACATGGGGTTCACATGCAGTAGTGAAAACAAAGTAAAAATACAAAACCTGTTCAACTGAGGGCTTCTGTCACTAGCACTGAAACCTTGGGCTAAACCTCTCTGTGGAAAACAAGGTGGTATTGCTGCCAAGAACCTTTGCCTCCTAAGTTCAGAGCTCCTTACTGCAGCCAATAGAATCTCCTTCATCGCCATCGATTACCCCATCCCTTCATCGCCATTGATTACCCCATCCCTTCATCGCCTGGGTAAGAGCTAGAGGGACCCACGGTTGGCACCAGTGGAGCTCAGAGTTCTGAGATCCCAGTTCTAGGAGAGGAACACCTTCTCCCAGAACGTGGTCTGTCTGGGGTCGGTTTCATCCAGCAGCCTTTTTGTACTTTAGCCATCCTCTTGCATTTCCTAGTCTCATTCTCTGCAGTGGCAGGTGGGCCCAGCCATTATCAGTGAAACCAAGAGATCTCTAGCATCTTCATGTGCAAGTCCACCACCTTTGGAGCTTTGGAATCCAGCAGCCTTGGGATCTGTGGGCTTGGAGTTTCTTCCCGCCCTTCCCAGAAGCTGTGCCCCTTAAAAGGGCAACAGAACAGTAGTTTTGTCCTGAACTGATGTTAGGACCAAACCCATAGTGTTGCCCTTTCAATTATTACAGCAGGATTGAGGTCCAGCCTACTCTCAGCAACTGGAAATATTTTTTCCCTGCCCTTGTAAGAGCTTTTGGAAGCTCTTGGTCTGAGCCAAGATTGAAGGAGGTGGCTGAAGCTAAGGGAACCCTTCACAGTCTGTCAATAGTGATGGATGGAAGATGAAGAAGGTAATAAAACCAATTCCTATTTGTGGAGTAGTTACTATGTCTTCAGCGTTTGTGCACTTTGCCTACATTGTCTCCTTTAGCATTTGTCACAATTCTGTGAAATGTCATTGTCCCAAGGAGGACACTGAGGCTAAGAGAGTTGATGTCAGTCAGGTGCAGTGGGTACATGCCTATAATCCCAGCCTCTTGGGAGGCTGAGGCACGAGGATCATAAATTCAAGGCTAGCCTGGGCAACTTAGCAAGGCCCTGTCTTGAAAGAAAGAAAAAATAAATAAATAAATAAATAAATAAATAAATAAATAAATAAATAAATAGAAGGAGAGGGAAGTGACTAGGGATGTAGTTCAGTGGTAGAGT